TTTGGCAATGGGATAATTAACAAATAATACACTCACAAGTTTGTTAATCTCAGAAGATAATCTCACTCTGGCTGTGATTAGAAAAAAACCAGAAGTTCACATCCCTAGTAGATTTTTGATGGGTACCCTTGAACAGCCTGTGCTCCACAAACTACCTCTAAGAGGTCAAAAGAAAAATAGGAAAAGTGGTTATAAAAGTAACTGTTTTGATTGCTAATAGAACATTGTCTTCAGCTGTACAAGTGTTTAAATCTGAATAAGGGATATGAGAGAAAAACATTGGAGCACAACCCTCAGTCACGACCTGAAGAGGAACAAGACACTGCTTTCAGTGAGGAAACTGGGCTGGGATAAGTGCTGATAAACTTGGGATCCAGTACAGGAGCACTGTCAGTTCCCTGGAGTTGACACCACATCAAATCATCTCTGCTCAAGGCTGTGTGTGAACAGTTTACTTCTCACAGCTTGTCCTTGTAGTTCCTCTCTTCTTAGCCAGCACTGGAGAACATCTTTCTATTCTTGACAACAGGAGTGTCAACATTTTATTGACATGTTTAAATATTACGTAGGCTTAGATATTCACACAAGCATGACCTTAAGTAGGCTGCATTTCTATTTACAACTACTTCTCTGAATTTGCTATCCTTTTATATGCAGTACTCTCTCTCCTAGTCCTGTCTGCCACCGTATGGAGGAGACTCCCTTTGATCCTTCACCCCTTCTGCAAAATTTTAACGCATTTTTTCTTGCCTGAGGTGCCACTGAAGGAGATAATTCTAAGAAAATATGTTTTGCATGAGCTATCTGCTTGTCCGGCAGACCCATCCCCAAGTGATTTTGGGGCCCTCCAGGCAATGTTAACTAAGTTTGAGAGAGAAGTGCATGTCCCAAACACACTCCAGAGCCAACAGGCTTTGACAGAGCCCTCAGCTGGGTAACTGAGCACAGCACAGCCCCTGCTGAGGCACCACGAGCTCCTCTGGTCAGCCGAGGGTTTGGGTGCAATGGGTTGTTCCCACGGATCTCAGAGCTGACGAGTCAGTCCATGGTCTCCTCCATGCAGAGCACCTGCAGTCCCCTCTTCCCAAAAGCTTGTAATTTATGCCAGATGGATTCAGCTTGAATTTGGGACGGTGCCCTTGGAAGGAGCAAAAGAAAGACACACAGTGGTTTAACAAACTGCTCTGGTCAGCTTCTCTGGAGCACAGGGCTCTGGCCACTCCTGGTCCTGCCCAAACGGGCTGCAGGCAAACCCTGGGGACACTGCGAGAAGATTTCAATAGGAGGCTGATAGATCAGAAATAACATCGTGTGATAGGACACGGGGTGCAGCAAAACAGGGGGCAAAGGAGGGGGGAAAGGACAAGCAAAGCAAATTTGCAGAGACAACCTCTGCAAGTGCTTCACACTTATTGTGCATGAACTTAATCTGACCCAAAGGATACAATTCATCAATGCTGTGCTGACCTCAAATTATTAAATCCAGGTTTATTAGGTCTGGATTAAAAATCTACAGCTGAGTCAGAGCTGACTCATCATTTGGTGAATGTTAAAGTCTTAGAAATTTGCTCACATCCACTTTGGAGCATTTATTAAAGCTTCTTTTTATTTTTTATGTCTAACAAATGAATGGTTCCCCTCAGTAGTGAACAGACAATGCTTATGAAAAAGAAAGCTCTTCTTTTAAGTATCCCACTACCCAAATATTTATTTTTTCAAGTTTCCCTCAAAATGATCAAATTATAGTCAAAGTACTAGATGTGACACCTGTGCAGATTTTTTTAAATTCAGTTGTAATACTTCAGTGTTGATCTCCTCTAGCAGTCAAACATCTAAATCAGTGACTTGACTATATGCTGAATAGGAAAATATCTTTTTTTTCCCCTGAGTTTACTGACATATTCTTTCTTCTAGTACAGGAAAGGAAAGGCAATCTGCAACATGGTTTATACAATTTGCGATATCCCAGTTAATTTCACCTAACACTTCTCCTTTCAAAATTAATTGACCTTAGCTTCTGCCAGAAATGCAAGAGCTGCTCTCCCAAAATTCACAGTGTGTTGCAAGAGATTTTAGCACTGAAGTGGGGATTGCTCCTGGGACACAAAACAAGGAAGAGATTTAAAGGCAGCAGGCACACAGCTTTGTGCTGAGGAAGGAAAAGCCCACACTAAGCATCACACATGAGATCAAACTGCCCTTCTGTCTTCCCTCATGTGCTCTTCTAAAATTCTTCTATACAAAGAGGGAAAGTACTGGATTACAAATATTTTAAGATAGATCCAATAGGAAAATAATGTTTGGAAAGCCTGCAGACACCTTGACTGAATTTCTAGAGGTATTACAGCAAGTACTTCAACCCTTGAAACCCAGCTGTGAGGCAGCACCTCCAAACCCTCCGCAAAGATCAGTCCTCACTTCACGCCTTAGCTGCTTTGGGACATGGAAAAATTACTTCTCTGTGTTGTTCAGAAAGAAGATTTTACACAGAAAGAATACTTTACAGTGTCTACTCGAGAAGCCTGCCAGGGGCAGATCTGCACAGTACAAAGCACACCAAACTGAGTGACTCTTGATCACTCACCCAAGTGCCACCCCCCAGGGTTTGTTTGGTTTGCTTTCCCAAGGCAAACAGGGGTGGCAAAGATATGTCCACGAGACATTTCCTCTCTAAGAATGCACAGTGCATCCTTCCCAGCATCATTCTGTTCACACTTTGCTTCATTCAGATGACTACCATATGGCCCTTGTGATTTATTTCACCTGAGCCTCTTGAATTGTTCCAAAATTCCTCCTTGGAGACTCTGATTTCTGTTAAGGACACACACTGATCTTCTGTGAGGTGGAATATGGAATAAGAATTTGAAAGTCCTTTCCCCAAGTAAAAACTGCTATAAATAATAATTTAACTTCTCTGCTGCTTTACTTTTTAATTGTCATCACCTGCTGTCAGTCACAAGGCCTAGAGTCTCACCAGTGGCACAGTGCAATGGTTCCTAATGCATTTAAACCAGCTTTAAATCACACATTCTTTATTCAGTCTGCTGCACCTTTGGTTTGTTGTTGACAGAGGACAAGAACCACATAGAAGTTAGATATATCACGTGGTTATTGCAGTAATTAAAACCTGTAATGTCAGGTATTACATACCTTACAGTGCATGTGCCATCACTTTCTTTGTAGATGATGTCAACAGGCACACAAATGCTGTGGCTTTCTCTGAAACCTGCTGCTGCAATAGGGAGAGCTCCGTCCTTCTCAGTCAGATGCAACCTTCTCACAAGCATACCTAAAGTCTGCTCACAGCTAAATCATTGTAGCCACTACACAGCCCCTCTGGCAAAGTGATACGAGTAAGATTCCCTTACGCTAAACTTGTGAAATGCAAAATGCTAAGACAGTCAATGGCCAAAGGGAAAAGGTGGGAAAACAGCCCTAATCCCTGATTTCCAGCTCCACACTCATTCAGATTCCCTTTTCACCATCTTAGGATCCCTGTCAGGGTGGGTTTCATCCATGTAAATTGGCTCACTGGACTGAGATCTCCCTTTTACCTGACAGCTCCCAGCAGCCACTTTCTGTGTCCAACACTCTGTAGCTGCACAGTCCAGAAGTGTAGAAAGACAAGTCTGTAAAATGAACTATAACTGGCCAAACTAGGAGTTTTCAGACACATATTCCCATCAAACTCAAAGAGGACCCACAGATACGTTCAGAATCACTCCTCTGAAAACAGCAAGCTCCTCACCCAATCTCAGCTTCCGTCCTCCAGCCCTCTGAGCTGTGGAGCTGATCAAAACAAGGTCACAATGATATCCTCCTTTAATGAAAAATATGTTCTTTTTTCATTCCTCTTTTCTGGGGAACAGGTGAGTCGTTTTTGTTCAAACGTTCAACATCTTAACAAAGACCCCTTTGAAGGCTACCCTTGAACAGTGTAGGCCTAATAGGTTTAAGTTTCAAACAGGTCCAGGTTACTGGAAACAGGAGGTCAGAATCCAAAAAACTTTTAGAGAAGGTTCAATGCATCTGTGAGAATTTCAAGCTACATGGAAACAACGTAAATACTCCAACACCTGCTTGTTACTTCTTGGGGACAAGAAAAATAGAAGAAACAAAGGAAGAAAAAGTGACTGAAATTCACAGTTCAGGAATAAATGGTCCTTCCATCTCTGATTGTACAGCTAAGAGACATACAGGCATTCCAGAAAGGAAGGCCTAGGTAAAAAAAAGACCAAACACCCCCCAGCTCCAGAGAACCACTCCTTACTGCACGTGGCTCCAGGGAACAGCAATCAGCCAAGCTCAGACAGTTTCTAACCCTAAACGTTTAGAGTCAAACCTTCCTACACCAGACAGCTCCAGAACAGGAGACAGAAGGGCTTTTGTGTTATTACTAAGTGAAAAACTAGCATCAACACCAAAATTCTTCCTCACAGCACAGGTTTTACTGTGCTTTCCTACTTGTAGAAAACCTCAATCAAGTGTTTAGTATTTCACTGAAAAGTGAGGGCTCAGCAGAGAGAATGTTGGTAAAGTGAGAATAACACACCGTGCCTGCTCTCAGATGTTCATTTCTGTGCAAGTCAAAAATCACAGAGAACAGCTTAAACAAATCTTAACATGCCTCTCATGCCCAGAAATGGGACTCCTCCTGCAAATGCCTTAGGCATGAATATCACAACACCTTCCTCTTGTACCCAGGCTCCTCCCATTTTATTTTACTCTCTTACCGAAAACACCCAGGTATTTTCATCTTTTTTTCACCTCTCAACCCAGGAAATTCAGAATATTGTGAAGCTTTCATAGCAAGAGCAAACAAGTTACAGGACCCATTGTTTCAGGTCCTAGAAAGTATTCTTAAAGTATTCTTAAAAATAAACAGAAGGCTATACAGATACTCATTATTTCTCTGGAAAGATCCCAGTGTTAATCTAAAAACTTCATTTTGAATTTCTCAGTGAGAAGCAGCTTTGGGGAGGGTTTATAACTGAACGTACCTTTGCTTTCAGCTCAGCACAGATCTCCAGTTGCTTTTGCCTGGAGTCAGCCAGCACCACTTCTGCCTCGTGAGCAGCAGCAGCTTCAGCAGCAGTGGCCACTGCCCTGAGGACAAAGGCTTTCCTCGCCTGAGCCCAGCTCAACAGCAAGGCTCTGTGCTGATTCCTGACGGAATGGCAATGATCCCAGGCTTTCTCATGAGCAACCTGAAAGAGGAAGGCATTTCACAAGGATTTAAAAACTATGCATTAGTAACATAAAGTTATTCTAGATATTTTTGCAAACCTTGAGAATAGTTAAATTAATTATATTATCCCCAGTAATCCACAATGCAGGGCCAGTGCACTCTGCCAGGGATGTTCCAGCTGGCCAGGGCAGTGACCCCTCTCCAGCCTTGCCCTCTCTGCCTGCACCTTGTGCTACTCCAGCACCTGCTGGCCCACTGTTCTTTGCTGAACTGCACCTTTGCAACAGGAATTAAATGCAATGGTCCCTTCCTGCCCTGAGGGACAGCAAATACATTGTCCTTCCAATACATCTCCAGAGGCACTGAGCACTTCCAGCAAGATGAGGCTTTTCTTAGCAAATTGTGATCTACAGAGAAACAGGACACTGAAACAGCTGTACAAGAGCAGTACAGGTGAGAATCAGCTTCACTTCTTTCCTAACAGGAAATCTGGAAACGGAATTTTAGCTTGCCAAGCAGCACAGTGCCACCACCAGCATCACCACCTAGCCAAAATGGGGAGTGTTTAATCTGAAATACACTCTCTTTGGCCTAATTCAGTGAGGTTCCCAAGGACAGTCAAGGTTCAAGACTTTGACAGAAGTAGTAGCAGGTAAGGCTGCATACACTGAGGCCACTGAGTCCTGAGCCTGCCACATACCCCCAAAAATACAAGTTACAGAGAAGAAGGAGATTCTAGAGATGGCTGGCTGCTCACAGGTGAGGAGACCATTCTAGATGCTGATTTCCAGCTTCTGGCAGGGGATGCTGGCTGTGCCTGGCTCACAGACAATCCCATCAGCTTGTGGCTGGATGAAGATGGCCCTGGATCTTCCCTTGGGTCAAACACACGAGGCCACCACCTCATCAGTTCCCTCTGTCAGGGCTGCTGCCCCAGCCTCACAGAATGCCAAAGCTGAGACAAAAGGCATGGGGTTGAGAGTTTGCTGGTTGGAAAACAGACCTCTCCAACCACTCCCACAGGAGCAGGCATTGGAGCTTGTCCACTGACCATCGTGCAGGGAGGGAAGGAGGCCTGGAAGGCTCTCAGGCTGATGTTCCAACGTTACACACATACACTCTTAGAATAGATTCTTGGCACTGTTTTAGCATTTCCATATTTGTCATGCTAATACACATACTAAGAGATATCAGTTCGATGCAGAGTTAGATTTTTTAATTTAGCATTCTTAAATTTTAAATGAACCTTCAAAGAATTAGAACCGTTAATAGAGGCTGTGCTTAAAATACACCTCCACTGCCCAAAGCACGTGACTGTTCACCCAGTTCTCCAAGGTAAAAGATCCAAAATCCACAAGAACTTTATTTTTAGTGAAAGTTGGGCTAATTATCAGTATCACTTCACTGCCACTCTGTTGTACTAGACACTCCTCAAACACAGGGAAGTAGATGGTCTAAAAATACAGCCAGAGATAAAAAAAGCCTCCTACTTTCCTTGTGAGTTCCTGAAGTGTTCTGGCCTTGAAATGGGTTTCTCTATTAGTGCTATAAGCTTATTCACTGTGGAGTATAAGAGGAATCAGCAATCAATTTGAAAGGCATTATACATATAAAAATAGCCTCTCCCTGAGAGCAGGAGATAACTTTTCACTCTTCTTCCTATATATGTGTCACAGATCAATTAAAATCACTATTACTAGACAGTGTGACAAGGCTCTACATCCTCATGAAAAATAAAAACACCAAGAGAAGCAGAGTAGCATGACAAGGCTATAAAACTGTACAGCAAAAGCAGTGCTAACAAATTGTTTTGTGAATTTGGCTCTAACAGTGTGTGGAACTATAAAATCTCCCCAAGGCTTGTTTTGAAAAGGCAGTAAGTTTAAAGGTCCTGCATTTTGAAAACAGGGACATCTCATCTTCACTGTGCAGAATACAATTTTTAATTAAGGAATTTTAAAACAAAAAAACTTCGATAAACATTCTTTAATATAACTGCTCACCACATAATTTATGTAAGAATTTGTATAATTGAATGAATATTTAAGCCAACACTGACCAGCTCATGCCTGGATTTGTGGGGAAGGTATCTCTGCAGCATATCCAGGTACAAAGTCCTCCTCCTCTGAAGATCACTTGGATACTGATTGATGACAGCCTGGAAAACCCACTGATCTTCTTCCTTCCAGTCACTGTTCCTATAGGAATGTAAAACAATCCACCCAGTACAACTTTGCCACTGAAAAGGAGGAGTTTGGTTCTGAGTTATTTTTACAGCTCACAGTCCTGATGCTGTGAAACTGGATGTTGGGTCAGAGCTGAGCTTGTTTCATTTAGTGAAACAAAGCAAACATATAATGCTTTGCTAATGTGACTGTTTATTGTGCCATCATTCAAGCAAATTGTTCTGTTTCTAACCTGGCTCTTTATTGGGGAATGACACTGTTTCTCCAACATGCCCTGATAGTGGAGAGATAGTCACTCTGCACGGGAAAATACAAGAAGGAAGAGAGAAAGGAAGAAGATAATCAGACTCTACCACTGAGTACTAAATACATGATCAAAATGGGATGAATGAAGTGACAATCCCTGCACGCAGCTAAATGAGGAGCTAGTTTAAAACCAAATTCCTAACAGCCATAAACTCATCAGCAAAGCATTTTTTAGAACAGCAGTTGTACCAGTGAGCTTGCATTAATCTATCTCTGAAAATTAGAGTTGCAAGTAACATCCAGCTAAAACAGAGGACCACGGGCTCGGACTCAGTAGCTCAGAGTTTACCCTCAATCTGAACTCCTGGCCCTCAAGGGATTAATGTCAGGCTGTCACTGTCAGCATTAACATCTGAGCAGCAACACTGAGTCAGACCAAAAGGTCTCTCTAGCCCAGTGACCTGGTTTCAGAAGTGACTAAGAGCCTAGGGATAATTAAAAGACAGCAATCATGAGATTCTTCACCACCCCCCCCCCCCCCCGAATTCCTGCCACCTCCAGCTGCTGCAGTTCCTGGACTGCCTGAGCCAGCAGCAGTGCCTCAGTATTCCATACACTGCATCCAGTAAGGCACTGGAACAGCCTTACCCTTCTGCAGGCAGAAAAACCAGGTGCTTCAGAAAGGGGTTCTTTATGAGCTGCTCACATGGAATTATATTAAACTAGACCTCATTATGTGAGCCAGCATTATCTCCGAGGACAAAACAGTGACCACTGGCATTAAGAAACAATTGTGTGTCCCCAGTTTAACCACATTGCACAGTAAAGCTGCAGTGCATTGTCCCCATTGCACAGCACTGGGGAACATCCCCACACCTGTCAGCTTACAAAGGGAAAGCTTCACCTGCAGACACAGCTCAAGAATGCAAAGACACAATATCCTATTTGAACAAACCATTTCACCTAACAACAAAGTATTTCTGTCAAGTTTGGTGACAAGCTTACATGAGACAGGAAAGTAAGCGAACACTTTCTCTTATAAACTATGTCAAATATCCGACAATCAATGTCTAGGACCCAGGAGTTTGCTGTTAAGTCCAGCCCTCTTGAAAAGAACTGGAGGTAGGCTTGAAATGGGAGAGCAAAGATGCAGCTCCAGTACAAAGTTTATCTGCAGTGACTGGCCAGAACCAGGTGAAGGCTGGAGACAAGGTAACCAGTCACTGACACGAGCCAAAAACAGCAATGAAAGTGTTTCTTTGTAAGTGCCTGCTGCATCTCCCAGACAGACAATGAATACAGATGTCTGGGTGGTTTCATACCCCAAGCCTAAAGCAGAAATAGTACCCCAGAAGGGAAATGGGCTAAGGAATCCTACTAAGAGGGAACGGTGCTGTAAGATCCCATAACCTCCACACTGCAGGCATGGAGCAGCAGGGACAGCCCCTGAGCTTGGTCACACAGGTGGCATTGGAAGGATGTGCTGTTTCTGCAGCATTTACTGCCTCTAAGAGAAATGTCTTGCAGCTGACCCTCAGAAATTAATGTTTTAAACTCCTCCCTCTTCTTTAGAGGGAGCTTTTCTATGAAATCAGATAATTTATTAATTTTAGAATCTGTGTGTTATAATTTGATATTCTGAGGCATAGGATTTCTGAAGAATAACTTTAATGAGCAAATTAATTATTCTTTGCTATGATTTAAATCTCCTCCACTGCAATTGCTCCTACTGATCTGAATTAAGTACAAAAATATTTTGTAAGATAACACCTATAATCCTTGTCTTTCCAGCCCCAACATTCTGTTCATCTGTGTATTAGAAGAATCAACATATAACTCTGGCAGCCTTCACTCAGAGGGACCACCAGCCATTCTGAGAGAGTGTTTCCTAGTTTACCTGTTGGATTTTCAATTACCTCTTGTAATTTCTGAAAGAAATCAGTAATCCTCCTCTGTGAGTCCTGACACATCTCAGTATGCTGACATCTGAGCATATCACTTTAGTACAGAAATGAGACAGTTCTAAGAGCTGAGATTCTCTCTTGTAACCTTCTACCTTAGATATTTCTGCCCACACAGGTTGATGAACAAATAGAGGTCTTCTGCCTGCAGGCGAGTAAGGCAGAGTAAGATACATGTAGGTCAGGGAACATTACACCACACAGGGGCAGAGGCACCAGCTGCTGCATCAGTGCCTGCCTCCTCCATCTCACACATCTCTCGAGTTCTCTCCGACTTACATTGCTCTAATGGCCAGCTAAGGATGAATCTCTGCACTTCTCCAAACAAGGGGGGGGAAATGAAGGCTTGTGGAAGATCCTCTGGGGAGCAATCAGCTGGAGATACAGCTACAAGTAGTTTATTGTAACTAGGGACCAACTGACTGCCAATGCCTCGGTTTGTCAGCTGTGCCAAAATTTGTCAGCTGTGCTGAGACTTTGTCAGCTGCTCGTAGACAAATAGCACCACAAAAAAAAAATAATCAGCCTGCCCCAGCCCAGCGCATTCACAGCACTAAACGCGCAGGGAATTCCAACGCGTCCTGCGGAGGGAACCCGAGGCGGCACCTCAGCGACACTTCGGTGGGATTCCAAAGGAACAGCTCACCTGCAACACGGCTGAAAACTCCCGCGCATTTGACACGAATAGTTAAGGGAATATCAGGTGTCTGCAGCGTCAAGATATACACAAACGTTTGCCAGGCTGGAAGCATGACCCAAATTCTCAAGGCAGCGCTGGCGTTCCGTGTGTGCAGCTTTGACCAGAGCACAGCACAGGCTGCGTTTGTTCCGGAGCTGAAACACAGCAATTGTCTGCTACGCAACAGCCCGGAGGCAGCTGCTTCCTTTGAGACAGATTTACCCAGCGTTAATCCCTGGCTTTCCATGGCCTAGAGAACACAAACAGCTCCGGGGGAAGCTCCCCTCTCCCCTGTAATCCCCACAGATCCCTTGCAGCAGCAGCGTGTGCTGGCACCGCTGTCGTGTTCAGACACACGGGCTGCCACAATGCCACCGAGGGAGATGTCAACCCCCCGCTATTAATGATGTCACTGCCGATTGTTGTAGCACAGGCATCCCGGGAACAGGCCTGGAAAGAGGACTACATTTCCTTGGTCCTCCTCTCGCACTCGTTTGAAAGGATGATGCCGAGGATGCAGTGCTGAGTCTGCAATACTCCATTCATCCTTCAGTAATTTTAATAATTCAGACTTCCTTGGAAATCGTGGCAAAAATATAATAGTGCTTAGAGAATCAGCAGCTATAACACACACATCAGTTCCAAGTCCACAATTTGTGGGATATCTCAGGACCTGTGTATTTCCCAAACACAAAAACTTGTGGTTTAGCAGCAGTAAAAGGAATGAAATTAGATTATAAAATATTGTAATCCTATACCAGGCTTGAAAAAAATCCCAAATTTTTCTTCCATTTCTGAAAGCAATGAGTATTGCAATGGGCACTCGAGTGGGACTGAAAAGCATACAGAATAGATGAGAATATTATCTTAGAATGTCCAAAAAAGACAATTCAGACTATGTGCATTTTCCAAATTCTCTGTTCCAAACAGTCTCAACAGTAAAAAAACGGGACGTGCAATGCCAGAGTAGTATCAGCTGAGGGTTTCTTCAGTGTACATTCAAGCACATGATGAAAGGAGAAGGACAGAGCAGCAATCTCCAGCTGAAGTGACCAGGTTACCACATTATCATAGAGTCAAGTTGTGCTACTGAGCAACTTCTCAAATCACCAAAACGAGGGAAGAAGTGTCTTGCAGGAGGATGTTTGGTCTCTGTGGGTACAGAGCAATGACAGTAACTGCAAAGGCCTCATTAAGGCTGTATTAATCAGTAGAGCACAGGGGATACACACCAAGGTCAAGGACCTGTCACTCCAATTTCTGACAGCATTTTCTGTGCCACTTGGATCACAGGCTGCCTGATGAATTATAGAATACTTCAATCACAAGGCTGCATCTTTGCAAACTCATAGAATATTCCCATGCAAATTAACCAATATAAACGTAAGAAGTGACAAAGAGTGCTGTGTCTATTATAAACCCAGCTATTATTGGACGTAAGCAATGCTACCAGAACAAAGTCTTGCTTTTTTTCTAATTGAAAACACATTTTTAATGTTGCTGTGGATAAAATCATAGAAACATAAATGAGCAATACATTAAAGATTTTGTTTGCCTTCTGGCCTCCAAAAACCCCAAGATCTAGTTTTAAATAAATTGTCTGAGATAATTGCTGAGGGTTCATTTATGATTCCCTAAATTCCCAGCTCTCAGTCCTGGCACATGCTAACCTAAAGTGAGTCTCTTGCTCCCCAGTATCACCTTACAGTCCCTCAGCAAACTGCTGCCCCCACCTCCAGCATTTCTTCCAGCTACATCCCCTTTGCTTTTCCCATCTAGAGATCACACCTTCATTCCTTCAGAGCACCACTGCTCGTGTTCATGCTACAGCTGCATTTATTTCCCTTGAAAATATGGCATTTTATCTTTAGGTCTTGATAGTCTTGAATTATCAGTGCAAAATTACCTAGCTCCAGCCCTGAATTCGCACCTGGCCTATGAGCAGTGAAAATACCACTGTTGATTTTTCAATCATTTTCAGAGATTCTGTTGTCTACATTGATGTTTGTTATTCAGTAGCACACATGCTGTGTGGGTCAAGGATTTAAATTTATGAATTCTCACTAAAATTATGTTGATCATAAACTTTAACACAATTTTAATTAAAACCACTAGAAAGACTTTTTACATATTTAATGATTTAGCATTTGTCATGGGTTCTCACTGAGGTTGTTAAAACATCTGTAACAAAATATCAGAGACAGCAGCAAAGCAACTGCTGTAAATTTGCCACTTGCTGCTTAATAAACGTTATAAATATGGGATAAATCAAAACAATTTTCAATAAGTATCATGTTATAACAGCTAGGATGCTACAGTAACAATATACAGGCTTCAAGTAACAGAAGAAGAACCTACAGAATGTATTATACAATTTGTACAAAAGGTAAGCAGATCCTAACATCACTTTCTATGTTTCCCAACACCTTTAACCTGCTCCAGCACACCCAGCTATCTCAGCAGCAGGGACAGAAGGTCCAAGTGCTGCTCTGGAGGTGAATACAGACCACAGAGAGATTGGGAAGCAGTGTGCCATTGTTTTACCAAAGAAACCAAGGCACCCTGCTGCTCTCTGCAGTTTCTTCTGCCCAGGCTTCCAACCATTCCATTCATCTCCCCCTTCTCAGTCTTTAAACCCAAAGCCATCCTAAGCCAGAGGAATATCAGGAGATGGCAAAAAGAAGGCAAAGCCCGTCCAATATCTGCAAATCAGTATTTCTCCTGGACTCTAGACAGTCTCAGCAAAAAGGTTAAGCCTTATGCTATTAATATTTAGGTTTGTTACATTTCTAGATTGTTATGAATAATGTTCTTTCTATTAAGTGTTTTATTTACAGAAAAATCTCTCCTTCTTTCAGTTAATCTGAATCAGAGCTATATACATTTTTTACATTTCTTTGTGATGACAATTACTGCAGTGATCCAAAAATTGTGAGAAGATTGGACCTTTTTATCTGCTTTATAGATAAAAAACGTTCTGAACTTGTCTTGGAAAGCCTGTACTTTTGTATCATAAATTTGATAGTAATTACCATACAAAAAGAGTAACTTCTATTCCTGTAAGAGCATGTGAAGAGGACATTTGATACACACCAGATTGCTGGTTCCTTATCCCACCAAATATGTTGCTTATTATTTCAGCAGAGAGCTTTTGCAAGGACTGGCTCCACCCTCAGCTGTGTAAACACTCCCCGATTGTCCAGCCCCAGAGCTGGGCAGAGCCTCCACTGCTCTGCACCAAACAGCACCAGCTCGAATGCCAAAGCCAGCTGCAGCACCTACAGATTATAAAGGATGTTACTGGCACTTTTATCCCCAAGAAAAGTCACGCAGAAAACTCTCCTTACCCGGACAAAGCTTCCAACTGCTGGTCGAGCTCCCGAAGCCTCGCCCAGTACCCACTGGCAAGCTCTTGGTACTGCTGGATCACCAAGGTCTTCAGGTCAGGGTAAGGGCATTCCAGAG